ATTACACTTGCAGTTGCTTTAAAGGTATGTACTGCTGATCACTGCACCGGAAGCTTGGTTAAATTTAGTATAGTTTAAAGTGTGTACAGCTAGGGCTGTTAACTCCGTTAATAAAATTGAGATCGTAAGGTAATGGTAACTTTAAAAAAAAACGTTCCGCTCTTACCTTTAAACTAACGGCTACCTGATTTTTTTAACGGTCGGAACTATCCGTTATCGATCATGGATAGAAAAAGTTTGAACGTTCCCAGCCCTAATGTAAATCTTCATTTTAGAAAACTGATTAGCCGTTGTTTGGTATGTAAACAAACTCAGTGCACCCACAACCTGTAAAAGGGTCCCGTTATTTCAAACTCATTTGGGTGCCGTTGTGAATCGGTCTTAAAGGGAGTGACCGGCAATGTATGGTGGTTGAACTGAATATGCAGGATTCATTTCAGACATATGAAACGTTTACACGATTAGCTTGCAAAAATATATAAGGATTAGAAAATTTGAGATTGCGGCGCAGACACAACCTTTTTTGAACCCCTCGATCGAGGGTTATAACTTTTTTCTTCATTTTAATGATAAAAAACTTTTACATTTTTACTTTAAGGCTTTCGAATTTTTAAAACAGAAACTTGTTGATTTTTTAAATATACGAAAAACAAATGATTATCTAAAAGATTTAAAATACATTTTGTTCGTTCGAAAAACATTAGACTTTAAAATAAAATTAAAAAGAAAAAACCTTTAAGTTTATTTTGTTTTTCAACCATGGAAACATTCTGCAGTTGGTTTGAAATTATAATATGCAAAGTTTTATTCGTAAATATATTTCACTCTTTCCAGAAAGCTCGATAATATATTTTATATTTTATTTAGCAAAACAAGCGAGAAAACGCAAACATTTTTTCTTCGACAAAAATTCACTAAAGGCACTGTTGACGTAAATTAAATCCTCCGCTTAAAGAGTTGTATGTCTGATTCACAAAGGTTTTTAAATTTTAAACCATTATATTTACCATTCATGCCTTATTTCGGCCGCAATATAGATGGTTTTATTGATTATTATACTTTATTAGATATCTAGGAAAACAAGTTTAATGGGTACCATGGTGAATTGAGCATGCAACTCTTTTAGTGGACTGTCACTTTAAATTACGTCAAACTTAACAGTTATTTTGAGAAACAAATCGTTCAAGAATTTTATCTTCTTTTCCCCGAACAGATAGCAATCATTCCTCTTCTAATCTGCTTGTTCATGATAGCATAGATTACAGGATTTAGACAGGAGTTTACATAACCTAGATATTGATTACAGGAGTTTACATAACCTAGATATTGATTACAGGAGTTTACATACCCTAGATATTGATTACAGGAGTTTACATAACCTAGAGAACAGACATGAACTAGATTTGGATTACAGGATTCAAACAGGAGTTGCAATGATATAGGGATTATAAAATTTGAGTTTGTGGCAATAAATCTGTTCCTTTACCGGAAAAAAAGGTTTTACTCTCAAAAGAATAATTGAGTTTTGACCATTCATGGCCCCTAGTGATCAAGCGTTCAAGTTGTTCAAGATTAACACTAATCCACTGCACCAATAGTTCCGCGCTCCGACAACTTGATGTATTTATACACTACTCACCTATCCAAGTAATAACGTCTATCCATTTGTAGTGTTCAAACCAGAAATCAGGACTAAACGGGAAACTAAAAATATTTCTAATAAGGGACTGTCAGAGTTTTTTCAAGTAAACCTCCATCCGAAGATAGCGATATCCGATTTATAATAGACCCTTGAGACATATTCAGATCCAAAATGTGTTGTTTTCTGACTCAAAAAGTCTTTAATTCTTATAATTTCGCCCTTAATTGCTAATAGTTTATTAGCAAGAAATGCACAAGTCGAGAGTTTTGCAAAGAAACCGCAAAATTTAAATAAACAGATTAAAGAAACTAAAACATGGATTTATAATTATTTTTTCATTAGACTATAATATGCTTTTAAGGGCACTGGATAAAATTACACTTACAGTAGCTTTAAAATAATGTAATTTTAGCTTGAAATTACACTTACAGTAGCTTTAAAATAAAACTTTCCAGAAAAGTGTTTAAGCAATTTTATGGAAAAAGTGACTTTGGGATGTGTTCTACACTGTTAGAAATGTTGTTAAAAACATCAAACTACATTTACGCATTTGGAATTCAAAAATATTTTGTTGTGAATTACGATGAGGTTTAAAAATTTTTCATAATTTAATACAAATTTTTAAAATTTCAAACCAATTTTTAAAATTTCGAAACAAATATTTAAAATTTCCAAACAAATATTTAAAGTTTCAAAAGAAATTTTTCTAAATTTCGAAAAAAGTTCAGAATCCAAAGAAAATATCAGGAGTTCTTGTATGAGTGTAGGAACTGGTTGTTTTTACAATTTTAACATGATACACCAGAAGAACCATCATCTCTTTCAACTACAAACTAGACAGGAGGAGAACGTAAAATTAATGTGACATTACACTAGTACGACTTTGTAACCTCGTATCTCCTCTGGCTTTGATTCTAAGCACAATCATGATAAAAAGCCAATTAATTTGTTTACTTATTAGTAATTTAACACATTTTTCTTCTGCGCCATAACTATTCAATTAAAGGAGTTAGGATTATGAAAGTGAAAGTTCTGAGGATTAATGTGTTACCTGATAAACATGATGGCAAATGGAGTCCAACACACTGCAAATGTAGAAATGATAACTCCCATCATTATAGTAATTCTAAACATAACGCAAGTAACTCTCCATGCAAAGATGTCAATGTTCTGTTTGCAACGGTGTACCCTTGAAACTTTAATCTGATCAAAAATGTGGAAGATACCGTCGTTTTCCTGACTCAAAAAGCGTTTAATTCTGAAAATTTCTCCATTGGTTCTTGATGTCTAATTAATACTTAAAGGGACTGTAAAGGAACAATGAAAGGGATATAGGATGAAACCTTTGAATCTCAGGAGTTGATTGAGACATATAAGAGTTCTATCTGATGTTCCAGTCTCGAGAAATTGACATAAAACTGTGTCACAATTATACCAAAACGTATATATGTTAGATATATGTCCGTATTACGTGGCCAGAACTCCCTCCAATAGCAGTGCAGTATATTGGTCACGTGATACAGACGGAGACAAGTGACAATAATGCTGGACTGCCATTGGTTGGAGTTCTTGTGACATGTTCCGGACGCATAAATAACGTTGTTATGACAAACGTTTTTTGTCATGACATTAAACCGAGTTTTAATATGTTCGAAAATTATGATTCCGTAGATTAAGAATTCCCAATTTCCCATACAGAACTACCCATAAAGGATAGGAATTTAGCGACAAATGTACGTTTTCTAGACAAAATAATACGAATGTAGAACTAAAAATTTTTATATTTTGTGGGCACCTCTGTATGTACTGCAAAATGAATCACATTTACATGAGAAGATGTTATGTCTAAGACCTACCGAAGTTGAGCGTTAAGTTCTCGCTTATATTTTCGTCTGGTTCTTGATTCTCTTTGACTTTTCCTATTTATCATATTTAGAATTTAAAAGGAAATGTGAATTTGAGCTAGGTCACTAAACTACTTATTGCTGGTTTAAATCTTGAATCACTGATTCAAAGGTAATGATTCATATAGTTTTGAATTGGTGATTCAGGATTTGACCCGCTGTAAGTAGTTGAGCGACCTTTTACACTCATAAAAACGCTACCAGATAAAACGCTAGTAAAAAAGGCTATTCTATAAAAAATCATAATGTTGGGTTTAAACTTTAGATTGGATTACAAATTGACTTTTTTATTAGATTTGGTTCCTGGACCCTGAGACTCAACTTCAAGGGACCATTTACTTTTATAGAGTTTATAGGCATGTGTCCGAATCCGGTAAACCTTAATTGATCAAGGATAAATCAGATATTCTTATTTTTTAAACTGAAAATTTATTGTGTTCAATATTTTTTTTTGCAAAAAAAGACTTTTGGATATATTTTGCTGAGACATTGAAGGAAATTGCTAGAATTTGTACTTTTCAAGACAAAAAAGAAGGATATCTTCCTCATTCTTACGCAGAGGCCAGAGAGAGGTTTTAAGAGAACCGTTAAAAATCATTCATGCAACTCTTAAAATGATATGTAACTTGAAATTAGGTCTACAGACCCTTTCAGAAAATAAACTTGAATAAATCTGATTTAAATATTTAATTTGATCTAAATCCTAGTAGTTACTGTGTCGTCTCTCATTCTAGGCAAGCCCTGCAATTCTTCTATCTGAGGAAAAACAAGTTGTAAACATTTAGTTGTAGTTTAGCTTGTTTTCAAATAGTTACTACTAGCTCAAGTGCCCGGCGTTGCCCGTGAAAAAAAAATCGGAATTAAAAAAAAACGTCAAAGTATCTAGTAGGTATCTGGGTTCCCTAAAAAATCCAGCCCATTCGCTCCTTTGGCCAGAAAAAGCTTACAGATATACAAATATACAAATATACAAATATACAGATATACAGATATACAGATATACAAATATACAAATATACAGATATACAAATAATATTCAAATATATAAATATACAAATATAAGCAAAGAGCTTTAATATAAAAAGATTTTTCAATCAGAGATATATTTTTGGGTTAAACTTTTTTACCGATGTCCAAAATAATTGATTAATTAAAAAAATGTTATCATTTATTTTATTCTTCTATAAATTACCATGATATCGGAGGACTCCGCAAAGCTGAATTCAACTTTACTGGTTTCTCTCAACAATCTAGTTAAGAATGTTTATCTAAGTTTCTAAAATCTAAAGAAAACATTTTAAATTATAAAAAGAGCCGAAAAGATAAGATTTCCATCTTAAGCTTTGCAAAAACAAATCAAGAATTTACAAAATAATCATAGAAAAAATGGACTAATTTGTACCTTAAATATAATATGATATGAGCTTGCTATCATAAACTTTTAAAAATGTTCTGGCTTTGCTGCACAAAGACATGACAGCAATGGTATTGCTTCCTTATAATTAGGGTCTGATGATATATATGATTTAATGGTGTTTAATGATATTAACAATTTCTCCGTACACTTTATTTTACCCCAGCCTACCCTTAAAGGGAATGTTTATGAATTCTAAACATTTTTGATTTTCAGTTTTTAGATGACAATAATGAAACCACTTTTAAGAAAATATATACACATATATACATATATTTTTTATAAAACGAATACTTAGAAATTGCCGCTTTATCCGAGGATTTCATTGTTGTACTGTGGTTTTCATCCTCTTCACGAACCTGTACATGTGAACAATCAATGAACTGTACATGCAGTAACCATGTACAGTGATAACCAAAAAATGTGGAAGACGACTGAAAATCATCTCCCTGAAAGTAGAAGGAAACTTCTGAATACAATTGGAATTTGTAAAATCATTCTTTCCTGGCAAAAGCTTAAATGGTTTCCTATTAATTGATTTAACTCATTCCGTTTCAGTTGAAGGTTTTAGTTGGGGCTGGAAAGTAAAGAACACTTTATGTACACATAAAGTACACTTTTATGTGTAGTATTTGCAGTTCCGGATTAAAATATTTACTTTTCCGGTGTAGAGCTAGTATTTGGGAACAGGAAAAAGAAAAGCGTAAAAAATTCGCAAAAATACAAGTCAGATGTTTTTCATGGATAAAGAACTTGATCGGTTCAAAAGAAATGTGTTCAATAAAGTCTTAGGTGAGCACTATCTTATCCAAAAGTTACGAACTTACATACAAGTATTTACTTAGCTTGCTTGTCTGTCTGTCTGGCCGTTTTGTAACCGATTGAGCCCAAATTTTTTGAGGCTACTCACATGACCCCAAATGGAAGGTTCACAAAGGACAAATTTTGTCTGGAAAATGTCGAAATCAATCATTTTTAAAAATCTACCAATTTGAAAGAAAAAAGGCGAAGTAAAGAGCAACTATTAAAATCTAAAATTGTTATGTGAAAAAGTCGTCGCGAAGCATGCCTAAAAGCCTATTAGGTAAAAAATGCCAATAAGTTTACCTCCACAAAAGCTTTATCAATTCTCTGCTGTTGAGTTTCTCTCATTCTAAATATAGGCATTTTAAAGAAAAACTTTTAAAATTTTTCTTTTTCATTTAAATCTTTATAATTGCAGTCTCTTAAAAATGAAGAAAACTATTATAGATAAATATTTTAAAATTAATGCTCAAGATGTTCAATGATTTCAATTAGAAACCTGACGAAGAATTTGAGTCTTTGCCACAAACTCTGATTTTATAATTCCTTTATCATTGCAACCCAATGTCATAGAACTTGGGTATTTCAGACTATTAGAGCTGTTAGATAAAATAATATGAGATTGAAATATCAAAGGTTTAAGCCATCAGGTTGCAAAGTTAGTGGGATTCAAAGACTTTCTATATAAAGATGATGGATTAGAAATTTATCTGACTATTGTGTACAGCTGTATTTTGACGTCATTGGTTATTTTGGTTGTTTGAGCATTCAAGAATCAACCGCAGTTATTTAATACAATTTTGAATGTTTTGTGCTAAAATTGAATACAAAATAACAATATTAAATTGTATTTCAAATGTTATTTAATCATTTGTTGGATAAAAGCCTCTTTTCTTTCATCAAAAGTAAAGAAATAATTTTGCATAAATGTATGCATATTTAACCCATTAACTCGTTAATTGATTTGTTAGGATTTAGGTTAAAAAGTTTACATCATTAAATGGAATGAAATTTCGAAGCAAGCAAAAAATGCATTTATTCACTAGGGAAGACCACATGTGTTTAAGACCAAACAAAGTGCGTAAATAGAGAGTCTTTGGTGGGATTTAGACAACTTGACTCAAGTCCTTTCCCTTCATATCATCTTGCTAATTTTACACTAAATTTAAATGCAATAATTAGCCAAATTATCCTTGTGTTATTAGATAACTTACTTGTGTGCTATGACAGCATAAAGACAGATTAGAACTAAAGATGGAAAGATGAAAGCTAGAATATAAATCTTAAATATATTTTTCGTCATAATCAGAAAAAATTTAAATAATTGAAATATTATTATATAGAGTTCACTACTTGAGTCCCACTAATTACAACCATGTACATCTTGTCTATTTTGGAATATTTTCAGTCAAATTTTTATCTCTCATTTAAAATCTGTCAGAAGTAGTGGAATATATATATCTACCTAATTATTTAAATAAAAAGTACTAGCTGATGTTCTTTATACTCTATCATAGGTTTAAGATATTCTATCATAGGTTCATGATACTCTACCATAGGTTCATGATACGCTATCATAGGTTCATGATATTCTATCACAGATACATGATATTCTATCATAGGTTCATGAGATGCTATCATGGGTTCATGACATTCTATCATATGTTCATGATATTCTTTCATGAGTATATGATATACTATCATAGGTTCATGAAATTCTATCATAGGTTCATGCTATTCTAGCATAAGTTCATAATATTCTATCATAGGATCATGATATTCTATCAAACATGTGTTTAAGACCAAACAAAGTGCGTAAATAGAGAGTCTTTGGTGGGATTTAGACAACTTGACTCAAGTCCTTTCCCTTCATATCATCTTGCTAATTTTACACTAAATTTAAATGCAATTAATTAGCCAAATTATCCTTGTGTTATTAGATAACTTACTTGTGTGCTATGACAGCATAAAGACAGATTAGAACTAAAGATGGAAAGATGAAAGCTAGAATATAAATCTTAAATATATTTTTCGTCATAATCAGAAAAAATTTAAATAATTGAAATATTATTATATAGAGTTCACTACTTGAGTCCCACTAATTACAACCATGTACATCTTGTCTATTTTGGAATATTTTCAGTCAAATTTTGATCTCTCATTTAAAATCTGTCAGAAGTAGTGGAATATATATATCTACTTAATTATTTAAATAAAAAGTACTAGCTGATGTTCTTTATACTCTATCATAGGTTTAAGATATTCTATCATAGGTTCATGATACTCTACCATAGGTTCATGATACGCTATCATAGGTTCATGATATTCTATCACAGATACATGATATTCTATCATAGGTTCATGAGATGCTATCATGGGTTCATGACATTCTATCATATGTTCATGATATTCTTTCATGAGTATATGATATACTATCATAGGTTCATGAAATTCTATCATAGGTTCATGCTATTCTAGCATAAGTTCATAATATTCTATCATAGGATCATGATATTCTATCAAAGGTTCATGATATTCTATCATAGGTTCATGATATTCTTTCATAGGATCATGATATTCTAGCATGGGTTCATGATATTCTGTCATAGGTTCATGAGTTGCTATCATATGTTCATGATATATTCTTTCATGAGTGTATGATATACTATCATAGGGTCCTGCTATTCAAGCATAAATTCATGATATTATATCTTAAGTTCATGATATTCTATTATAGGATCATGATATTCTAGCATAAGTTCATGATATTCTATCATAGGATCATGCTATTCTATCATAGGTTCATGATATTCTTTTATGAGTATATGATATACTATCATTGGTTCATGATATTCTAGCATAGGTTCATACGATTCTATCATATGTTAATAATATTCTATCATATGTTCATGATATTCTATCAAAGTTTCAAAATGTTGCAATGTTCTCGGCGGTTTTGGTCAAACACAGCGATACGAATTATATTGCATGAATAATTAAGATCTATGCCTAGTAGTCCAGCATAAAGTACATATCCAGTAGATGCTGGTTCTACGGGGGGAATACATTCTTCCATGGAGTTACTGAAAAATCAGATTTTTTAATACGTTAATATTATTTAAATCAAAACAATATCAAAAGGAATTGAGTCTTTGGAACAAAATAACATATTCTTCAGAACTCGATGTTGTAAACCTTTGATATTTCAAACTGAGATTACTTGATCTAACAGAATTCATAGTTTGAAATATCTAAGGTCTGCAACATTTGGGTCCAAAGATAAAGTGATCAGAGTTTGTGGCAAAGACTCAATTCCTTAGCCCGTAAATGACGAATTTAAAAATGGTCATTTTATCAGGAATTAGCAATATATTTTCTAGTAAAACTGATTTATTTTATCAGGCATTAGCAATATATTTTCTAGTAAAACTGATTTATTTTATCAAGAATTAGCAATATATTTTCTAGTAAACTGATTTATTTTATCAGGAATTAGCAATATATTTTCTAGTAAAACTGATGTTTTTTATCAGGCATTAGCAATATATTTTCTAGTAAAACTGATTTATTCTATCAGGAATGAGCAATATGTTTTCTAGTAAAACTGATTTATTTTATCAGGAATTAGCAATATGTTTTCTAATAAAACTGATTTATTTTATCAGGAATTAGCAATATATTTTCTAGTAAAACTGATTTATTTTATCAGGAATTAGCAATATGTTTTCTAGTAAAACTGATTTATTTGTCTAGATTTATTTTAAAAATTAAAAAAATTTCTACATGACTTGACAAATCTGCCTGTCTTTGCTTTCTGTTTATTCCCAAGAATTTTACTTTGGAGAATTTCCTAAGAATTTCTAAAGCAGGTTTCCAGGATTTTCCTGGTCCCAAGAATTTCTTGAAAACAAATCCGGGGAGTTTGGGGACAGATTCCTGGGAATTTCTGTGGAATTTCCCCAAATGGTTAACATTGTCACATTAATTTTATCAGATAAAAGTTTCAAGGGTACCGTTCTGAATGGGATTGGTCCCTCCTTGTTACACGAACAGTCAATTTAAAAGTAAAAAAAAAATACAATCCCTCTCTAACCAACGCTTGGTCACTAACCCTGCGTCTTTCCACTCACTTCCTGACTGAAGTTGGCCAGTTGGAGAACCCCTCCTTCTCCACGAACATGGGGAGGGAGATGAGGAGAGCCATCAACCAGGAAAAGATCAGCAGCAGGTTGGTTGTCAGGGTGTTTCTCTTACGAGTCACATAACTAAAATTGATTCAAAAACTGAATAAACATGTTTGTTATTACTAAATTTCATGGAAAAAATAAAGATGAAAAAGATATAAATTCAAAAAATTTAAAGAAAGCAGGAGCGCACTACAGGTTTGTCCAAGGGGCTGTGTGCTTCACCTTTTTTTAAATTACATGGTCAAGTTCTTAATTTTTAAATAACATATTGTAATGATGCTGTGATTTTGTTGATCTTTTTACGATCAGCGGTTCAAGGGATCTTAAGATCGCTGCGATCATAGTTATCTAGGGGTATCATGCCCCCCCCCCATTTTAGCATATACTAGAATATAATTTTTTAAATCATTTTTTAGAGTTGCAATATTTTTTATCACAATGTTTTTTTTTTTGGAAATTCAAACAACCCTAGTATTCTCCCCTTAGTTTTATTACCACTTGGTTCAGAATATATATCTGCCTGGTCTATAAGGTAACCGCCAAATTGAAAAAAAGACAGAAGGAGACTACGCCGACTACGCGTAACTCCTTTGGGCTTCTGTGTCAGGGTTATTGTGAACGAAATGCATCAAAATCTTTAAAAGACTACATCCAGCGTCCTATCTGTTATTTTAATTAATCTATTATAGAAACTATCTATCCTATCCTTCCCTCCTTAGTTCTATTACCCCTTGGTTCAGAATATATTACCTGACTGGTCTATATACAGCATAGAACCTATCAATACTTATTCCAATCAGACTGTAAATGGATGCGGAGCAAAATCCTAAAAGTTGTTGTCGATTGAAAGAAAAGAATGAAAAATAAAATTAGACTGTTTTCTTACAGGGTTACCCAAAACATAATTTCAGGCTTTTTTTGCATAATTTAGTTTATATTTTTACAATATTACATTCAAGACAGAAGAATTAATTGGTATTTAAAATTTTTGGGGTAATTTCCTGGAGAACGATTTTTGGACCCCCCTCCCTCATATCAATGTTGTACATGGATCTCATATGTAACAAATGCATAAAATTGGTCATTTGGCCGCAGCGACCGACCCCGTAGTCTGTCCTAGCCGCGGTGCTCGGCCCCATAGCCTGTCCTAGCCGCAGCGTTCGGCCATGAAATTGTATTAACCTAACCTAGCCCTAAAATAATAAGAAATAAATAATTATCATTTAGCTGAAAAAGTGGTCATTGTACAACATTGAAAGGATGGGAAGGGAAGGGGGGGGGGGGTTCAAAAATCTTTCTCTAGGACAAACCCAGTGTTTGGGTCGTCATTGTCTCATTTTTGTGGGTAATCATGTGGACCTGTATTATACGTTTAATAAATAATAGTTTTTAAGTGCAATATTTTTGGGCAATCTGACCTACGTCCAAGGTGACCCAAAACATACAGAGACTAGCACCCCACAACCATTTACCTTCCTGAAACTAAAAAAAATATGCCTTTTTCATTCAAATAAAACACAAATAAAATACAACTAAAATACAAATAAAATACAAATAAAATACAAATAAAATACAAATAAAATACAAAAAAATACAAATAAGATACAAATAAAATAACTCATTTTAAAACATTTAAAAAAAAGATGAATTCACATGTTGTTATGTGACTTACATTATGATACAAAACTAGTTAAATCGCATAAATCGAGATTGACTATTTTCAAATTAACTATCCCTATATCTAAGCAACCAGATGTAGATGTAGATCTGAGATAATTCAAACAGAAGGACTTCTGTTAGGTTAAATAAACTAAGTTCAAAATGTCAAAGGTTTACACCATCGGGTTGCAAAAATATAGGCATGAGAATCTTGAATTTTGTGGCAAAGACTTGCAGTTTATTTGTTGTTTATTACTACAAATTACAATTTGCGAAGTAGCTTTGATTATGTTAAAAACAACAGACAAAAAAACATTACGAAACAGTTCTCAAGTCCAAGGTTATAATGCAAGGAAAGTTAATTGCAGTTGCGTATACTCTCTGCGTACAAATTGAAACCAGTTCTCTCTGGGCGGAATTTGTAAACAAGAATAGATGCATCAGTGTTCGTTTAGTATCCGAGGAGGATAAAAGCATTCAATTTTGATAATTTTCCCAGAGAAAAGATGCGTACACCTCTGAAATATCTTTCCCTGCATTACATCCCAAAACAAAGTTTAT